CACCAAATATGTTGTTTAAGTTTAATTCAAATATGTCACGACTTTTGTATCACCATAAATGATAAACTAAATATTTTATTCAAATATTAGTGTAGGTTTTTAAAAAGGCGAGTATGTATGTATCCAAAAGTAAACATGCATGAATATACACATACTATGATTTCGAAAATTTTTAGTGACCAACCCATGTCCACAAATTTTTATATAACAAATATGTTAATGAAAATGTTAATCACGATTTTTATGAAGCTATATAAGATAATAACCCTTTTTACACAAGTATTTATTCCACATTCAACACATAACCATGATGCATGCAATTATCCAAAGGATAAACTTAATCTAGCATACTTGAAGCTTGTAATTCACGAGTTGATGGTGTATCAACATGAGATATTCAACATTATAAGCTCAAATTGATACATGAACATGTAGGTGCATGCAAATATCCAATGGTTAAACGAAACTTGACTTGTATTACCCCCAAAAAATACATAAAAAACACGAAAAAGCATGGTGTATGAAGCTCACCTTGATTTCGTGTGACAGGAAGGAAAAGAAGGAAATTTTTTATCCTATCTTGATCTTGGAGAGATTCTCGAAAGATTGATGTTCTAAGAATCATACACACGAAAATGAGTGTGTAAATGGAATGATCTTAACACTATATTGTATAAAAACACTTGAGTTTTACAAGAACTTACCAAGTTGTTATAAGTTTCTTGAAGAGAAAACCTTTGAGGTTGGCACACACGAAATTTAGAGAGGAAAGTGAGAGAGAACTTGAGAGAATGTTTGAGTGAAAATGATCTTTGGGTGTGGGTGATGGCTGTTCGGCCGAACCTTCTTAAAATAAGGGGGAAAATGGCTTCCTTGATGTATGTTGGACAATTGAGAACCATGCATGGATGCATGGAAGATAGATGTTTGTATGTGTGGGAGCATGAAGGGTAATAGGTTGTAAAGGCATTAGGTGTCAACATTAATCCTTATCGTTTTTTTTTTGTTTTTTTTTTCTTGTCCCATGCTCTAACCGATTTTATGAAGTGTGTAGAGGGGTTTTTGGTTTTTGGGTGGCCGAGAACACCCTACATACCTACAAGGTTGTCGGTTCTAAGATGGGTATGGGCTTTTGGGTTTAATTTGGCAAAATAAAGAAGTTTTTGGCCAAAGGAGGGCCCAAAAGAAGGGGTTTTCTGTCCAATAAGGTATTTGGGTCGAGAACTCTAAGCAAAGCCCAAATTTGATTTTGTCTAACTATTGGTTCAAAATGGGCTTTCATGAGGTTATGCCAACTTGATTCTAAGTGTGTAACATCCCAAAAACACAAGCCAAAATTTTCATTTTTAACTCATTAACAAAACCATAATTATCTTTCAACATATAAAAATGATAAATTGTGTATCTCAAGAATAACATAACATCTGTCAAATATATCAAAGTATAAACATCCCAGGCTGAACAAATGGCGTGTGTGCTGCAATCTTCCCGAGCTCCTCTTTTAAAAACTGAAGCACCTAAAATCAAAACTGAAACTATAAGCACGAAGCTTAGTGAGATCCCCCAACTACCACATACCATACCAAGCACATATCACAAATAACATAACTCTGGGACTACTCCCACTGCATCGAGATGAATTCCGACATCAGCTTACCCGACATCGGGCTCACCCCGGCATCCGACCGCATCAGGCATCGGGCTCACCCCGGCATCGGGCTTTCCCCGACATCGGGCTTACCCCGACACATACACAACATAACATATATCATAAACATATAACATAATCACATAATTTGCATCGGGCTTGCCCCAGCATCAGACCGAAGCCCGGAACAAATACATATAACACATAAACTAGCGTACATCGGGCTTGCCCCGAAATACATAATACATGGCATAATGACTAACTTACACCGGGCTTACCCCAACATCGGGCTTACCCTGGAACACATAACATATAATATAATCACATATACTGCATCGGGCTTGCCTGACATCGGACCGGAGTCCGGAACACGTAACACATAACACATAATCATGCATGAATCACAAAGACATCAAGCATACATAACTACTTCTGGGGACCATCCCGACATTGGACCGAAGTCAAGAAACATATAGACTGTATCGGTCTAACCCGAACATCAGGCTCACCTCGATATACTCTACTACTTAAACGGGTCGACATTGGTGCCTTAGACCCGTTCCTACTGGAGGAAAAATCACCTCTCAAACTGGATGCTGAAAACTCAGGCGAGGGTATCTCTATCAACTGCTCCAACGACTCCCCGACTATTATAACCAAAAATAAACACTTAGTCAAAAACTGAGAATCCATCTAAGTATAAAATGACTATTTTACCCCTTTTGATCTAAATTGGACCATGACCTAGGCCCAATCCTTTCTAGTCTTTCCAAACTCAAATGGGCTTTCCACCCAAACCCAAACTAGCCTTTAGGCCCTTAACTGTCTCTTGGTGGCCCAACACGGCCCAACATCTGCTAACCCAAGGCCTGACCCCAAACCGAGGTACAATAACGCAAAGTCCATAGTCTGAGTGTACGTTGAGCGTACTCTTCTGTACGCTGTGTGTACAGCTTGCATGGCTTGTACGCTGCACGTACTGGCGTGTACGCCTAACTTACTCCCCTGATAAACCATATTCTTCAAAATTGCTTAATCCCTTAAGACACAACTTCCAAACTGCAAATCTAAGTCCAATAACCCTTCTTAACCCATAAAGTTGATCAATTGGTGGCTTGCAATGAGATCAAACTTGTAAAAATAACCACCATCTTCATGTAAATGGCTAGATCTCTTGCATGGATGAAAATGGGACTTAAAGATTGCAACTTTACTGCTCAAGGGACTCAAATAACTTAATGGGTGGCAACCCTAAGTCCAGAAATGGATTTGTATCATAAAAATCCATTCTTGAAACCAAAAGGGACAATATCCATGAGAACCTAGATCTATGATGTAGAAGCACCAAGATGAGAACTTTATACCTTCAATAGGCTGGAAATGATGTAAAACCTCTGGATCTACAAGCTCACTTCAATCTCTTGCTTCTTCTCTAAACACCTTCTTCTTTAAAAACACCAAAATACTCCTCTAATGGCCATCCAAGCTCCAAAATCACTCAAATGAGGGCTAAGGGTCGATTTCTAGGGTTTAGAGGGTGGAGGCTGAAGATATTAGGGTTAGGTTATGAGATAAGGAGCTTAAATAGGGTCCAAGACCCTAAAATAGGGTTTAGGTATGATTGGCGTACGCCCATCATTCATATGGTACTCCCAGCATACTCTGAAGAACATTCGCGACATCCTGGTCAGTACACCCATCGTACTGCCTTCTTCACTAGTACACCCAGTGTACTCTTTCTGTACGCCCAACGTACTTGGCTAAGCCTGAAACCACTAAACCTCCGAAGGCCATAACTTCTTCATTATAAATCCGTTTTCGACGATCCTTATATCCATGAAAAGGTAATGAGAAGCCCTACACTTCTATCAACTCATATATTCCTAAATACCTTCGAAACAAAAGTCCATTTTCCACAAAAGCTCAAACTGACACTTTACCGAAATACCCTTAGGATCCGAAACACAACCGAACATCCAGAACACTTCTAATGCATCACTCGCACCTAAAATGGCCTACATCTTACCCTTTCAAAAGCCATAATCCTTATGAAGATCGGCCTTCGGGCATAGCCTCAGACTAGGAGTCGATTCAGAATAGGGCGTTACAAAGTGTGTGCACATATGTATTCAAATAACATTGTAGTTTGAATTTCACTAATTTGATTTTGCAAGGTTACATAGAGGAAACTGTTTTGTACATGAATCACCATCACAACCCTAAATTTGCTAGATGTGAAAAAAATACTAGTAGATTTGATTGCCTTTTCCCTAATAAACCATGCATAGTTTTCAACCAAGCAAACCACTTGAACCTTTCTTTAGTCGATTTGCTAGTCCTATACTGCTTACCCTCTGCCATGATTTTTTTTCTTCCAATTGCAAACTTAAGCACGCTTTGTTATTGAACATGTCTAGAACCTTGACCTTTTCACTTATATCCAACCTCTGCGATGAAATGTTGACATCATCATTGACGGGACACGAATGCAATATGGGTATACCTTGAAACATGGTATCTGAATACATAAGTTTAGGTTTATTGTCCGATTCTTCTACAATAGAACTACTACCTAGATCTATTATATCTAACTTTTCACAATCCACAAACCCCCTGTATCCTTGTAGTTCACCATCATTAAAAAAAGGAACTTTTTGATTCCCAGTTTCATTACCTAATCGATTAACCATAGCTTGTGATTTTTGGTCAAAGTAATAATGTGCACCCAAATTAAGATATGTACCAATATCATCATCATCATCTACATAATTATAATTCTACAGTTCCACATACATAATCGGTTCTGGCACTACGTTTAATTTTTAGCAACACTATGATATTAAGGCATACTTGGAGTTATAAAAGTACCCATTGCGTTGTTGCTCCCTTTTCTGCTGGATACATTAGCTGCATATGCTTTTTCTCCATTGAAAATTTTGTTAGCCTTGTCACCTTTTTCAACCACCACATACACAGACAAAATTACCACTAACAACATTGATTATGTTGATCAACTTTCTAATATCACGATCATCACAATAGCATAATAATACAATTCTACAAGATGTTGGTAAGACATACTAACTTTTGATTCATCTGTAAGATTAGTCTGACTTTTCATCAAATAAACAAAAGACAAAACTTCAAAAATGGTCCCTATGGTTTCCAAAAATATCAAGTTTAGTCCCTAAGTTCAAAAAACCTCACAGATGGCCCCTGTGGTTTCAAAACTTTTAACAAATGGTCCTTCCGGCTCACTCCGTTAGCATTTCACCGTTAACTCATTTTTTTAATAAAATATTGCATGGCTAATTTCATCATTTCAGTTGTAACCTTCTCTCTGTAATATGAAATGATTACCTGTTGCTTGCACATCACTACCCGTCCCTCTCCCAAGAAGATAACCAGTTACAGGTTTAGTCATCAGGTTCATTCCCATCGTAGAAGCAAGAATAGAAATTGGGATTTAGGATTTTAAGCTGCAGAAATTGCAATGGTGCTATCAATATGGTGTTTTCGAGAAAAATTTGTAAACGTGGAGGACTTAGGAAAAAGATACGGTACAATACTACAACAAAACTTGTTTTTTCTTGGTCTATTGTGTTGACGTAAGGAAATCATTGATTTTACTCTTTTTTTTGTGTTTACAAAAGGTTATGACAACTATTTCACGTTGAAGATACACTACATTGGTATCTTCACCAAAGCACCTGGAAGGAAATACGTTGATGGTGTTGTAGCATATGTAGATGATGTTGTCACTGATTTATTTTCAATTCATGAGCTTGACGACATGGTTCGAGAACTAGGGTACAAAACTGAGCAAACCCTTTACTATCATTTTTGTATCCCTGAATACCCTTTGGACTATGGCTTAATGCCTTTAGGTAATGATCAAGATGTACTTAAAATGGTATCATCTGTCCCTAAACACAAACTTATTAGGGTGTATATTGAAACTGGTCAGACAAGGGTAGCTAGTTATTACAAGTCTCCTTCTAAAGTTGTTATTGAAGAGTTGGAGCTTGATAGTGTGTCACCTGAAATGAATAGAAAGAAACCTTGTAGGAGAGAAGCAGGATCATGTAGTAGAAAGCTTGATCTAAACAAGTCTATGAACCCTGATTATGAGCAGTCACAAGTGTTAGATGTTGATGAAGGCCATGATTACTCAAAGAGTATTGTACCATTTATAAGGCCACAAGGAAAACAAAGTCATGTCATTCAAAAGGAAGCGGTGAATCATGAAATTGAAACTCAAGAAGAAGTGATCACTAGTGCAGTTGAAACTGAAGAACCATTAGGAACTTACCATGTATAGGAACCAAGCTGCCAAGCTGATGATGGAGCTAATACTACAACAGTTGATGATTATGAACCATTTATAGAGGATTACTCACTTTATGCTGATTATGATGCTGAGTTTAATGTTGAAACTTCATTTGAAAAACAACCAGAAGTGGATTATCTAGAGGGTATGGTGAGTGATGATAGTGGAGAAGCTTTCTACTCTGAGAGTGGGCATGGTTCTGAGGATAGTGGAGATGATTCTGATGACAGTGAATACAATGTGGATGAGTCTAACATACAATTTGATGTAGATGTAGACATGAGTGAATTCCGTAATGCTGTTGATGTAGATGAACATGGAATCTTGAACAATCATTCAAAAGATGAAGGGATTGACATGGTTGATGATGATTTGGAAGTTATTGCCACTGATGATTATCAATTTATAGGATTTCATGAAGATGATAGGAAGAGATTGCTAAAAGAGTTGAGTAAGTTAAGTACATGCTCACATGGAAAGGTTCATGTTAAACCATTTCAGATTGGCCAGGTCTTCAAAACCAAGCTTGATGTTAAAAACTACATGAACTCACATGCTGTAGCAACAAGGAGGTCTTTATACCTAGCCAAAAATGACAAAATCCGGATTAGGGTGAAATGTAAAGGTGTTGTAAGTAAGACTTCTACAGGAGTTGATGGTGGTGGGCCCTCAACTAGAAGTAGGGAAAAGTGCAAGGGTAAAGATGTAATTGCCAATAAAGGTACATGTCCACGGGAAGTCCAAATATTGAGGGCTAATAAAAATCAGGATTGGTTGGTGAAAAGAGTACAGGATGAGCATAAATGTTTGAAAACAAGGGCGGTTAAAGCTTGCACTTCTTGGTACGTAGCAAAATGAATTGTTCAACAAATACAGAGTAACCCTAAAATTCCAGTGAAAGCTTTACACGAAGAGTTGTGCAAGAAACTGGAGGTAGGAATGTCATTGCAAAAGGTTTCTAGGGAAAAGTCAATGGCTGAGCGTATCATTAGTGGGGACTACCAAGTACAATATGGTTTTTTGAGGGATTATGTGTTGGAGCTACTCAACACTAATCCTGGTACAACAGTTTGGATTGATGTGTATCCAAAAACCTCCTTGTCTATTACCACAAGAACTTTTAGAAGAATATATGTCTGTTTAGGTGCATTGAAGTTAGGATTCAAATATGGTTTAAGAGATTTTCTAGGTCTGGATGGTACTTTCATGAAGGGCCCTTACCCTGGGCAAGTGTTAACTGCTGTAGGGTTGGACTCAAACAATGGCATATTCCCTATAGCATATGAAGTAGTAGAGACAGAATCAACAAGTAGTTGGACCTGGTTTTTGGAACTGTTAGGAGAAGATTTGGATCTGGGACCAAATTCAAACTTTACCTTCATTTTAGATAGACAAAAGGTGTGTATCACCTAACTTTTTTTTATTACCTTTTCTAAATACATTTGGTTAACTGATGTTGCTTACATTGAATTTTGTTTAGGGAATAATACCAACAATGGAGAAGGTATTCCCTAGTGCAGAACACAGGTTCTGTTTGAGGCATATCCAGGAAAACATGAAGAAACAGTGGAAAGGAAAAGACTTAAGTGACCAACTTTGGGAGTGTGGTAGAGCAACAACAGTCAATCATTTTAACAGGGCAATGGATGAGTTGAAGAAGATCAATGCAGAGGCTCATGCTTGGGTCTCTAAGATCCCAACAAACACTTGGGCTAAATCTCACTTTAGTGGTAAGTTTCTAGAAATTTATTGAGAAATGTTAATCTTCCCTGTTGTGTGTTTACTATATGTGTAATTGTCTTCTCTTAATGTCTATTATTCAGGAAGGGCACATACTGATTGTTTGTTGAATAACCTTTGTGAGGTATTCAATTCTAAGCTAGATGAAGGTAGGGATAAACCTATCATCACTTGCTTAGAGTATATTAGAGAGTATCTCATGAAGAGGATATGTGTGGTGCAATAGGAAATAGATAAGTGTGAAGGACTTCTAACCCCTACTGCAACTACACTGTTTGAAAAGACTAAGACTGATGCATCAAAGTATGTGGCTAAATACAATGGGGCAGGAAAGTACCAAGTGACAAGCACATGGCAAGACCAATATGTGGTAAACTTGAATGATCAAAGTTACAGTTGTAGGTTTTAGGAGATTACAGGTTTCCTATGTAGACATGCTGTTTGTGCTATATGGGACAAAATTGAAAATGGTGAAAATGCCCCACATGTTGATGAATGGGTCCATCCTTGCTATAGGTTATCAACATGGAAACCATTGAATGGATGTACAATGTAGTCTAAAAGTGACTGCCCATTCACTTTACTTCCACCAAAACATAAGACACAGGTTTGTATTTAAAGTACATCAAATATATAGTATACATGTGAACATGGAATGAATTCAATTTTAACTACAGTATATCAATATGTGTAGGTTGGGAGGCCTAAGAAGAAGAGAAGGAGGGGTGTTGATGAGCTAAAAAGCCAAGCTGCTATATTGAGCAGGAAATATTTGGCAGTCACTTGTTCAAAGTGCCATAACAAAGGGCATAATTCCAGAACATGTAAAGGGCAGGGAGGTAGTGGTGAAGTTGGAGGGGGTTGAAAACTATTTTTAGTGGTTATTAGGATGCTGGTGTTGTAGGTATTTAGAAACTTAAGTTATGTGTACTTGTTTGAAGATGTGTTAAGAACTTGAAAACTTTGCATGTAATGCTTGTGTTGTAGGTCTTTTGAAAAATTTGCATCATGGTTGTGTTAAGAACTTTATAACTTTGAATGTAATGGTGTGTATGCATTTTTTGGTAATGAATTAATATGTTTAGTGTACTACCCTTCACAGATCAATTAATAACATTGTACATTTCAATTGCAAATGAAAACCATCTTCAAGATGCATTTACAATACACTTAACAATTGCATTTCAAAAACATTAAAGAAATTGAACAATGAACTATAACAAACAACATTCCATTACCATTACCATTACCACTGCATTACACATTAATTTGATACATAAACCAAATACAACAATACCAATTCCAAAACCACCTACATAAACTGAAAGCAAAAAAACCCTTATCCGATTAAAATAAAAAAAAACCCTGCAATGGTTACAAACCAAAAACCAAAACTCCATTACCATCCAAACCTTCACAAGATAATTAGAGATTAAAATAATAGCAAAAAAAAACACCCATGAACAAAACAACATCAGTTGGTAGTTCCACAATTCTGCAGTTACAATGGCGACCATCACTTCCAATCGATTCTTTGATCTTACCAAACCTGGAATCACCACCAATGCCCTAGCACACATTGGAGGATCAGACCATCGAATGAAACCACATCTTCTATAGTTCCAAAATTATCTTCCAGGGTTACAATCCGTCCACCATGAAGTGATCTTCGTTGCTTCATTCCCACACCTGCAAGTCACCATCTTTGAATCAGAAGCGATTCGATGTCGTGAAGGGTGCAACGGTCGGCCGAGCAACAGTGGAAAGGAGGAGAGGAGAGATGAGGACTGATATAGCTAAAGGGGAAACCAAAAATCGAACATGCAAATTCTTTTAAAGAGAGAAGGTTACAACTGAAATGACGAAATTACCCCTACAATATTTTATTAAAAAATGAGTTAACGGTGAAATGCTAACGGAGTGATCCGGAAGGACCATTTGTTAAAAGTTTTAAAACCACAGGGACCATCTTTGAGGTTTTTTGAACTTAGGATTAAACTTGATATTTTTGGAAACCACAGGGACCATTTTTGAAGTTTTGTCTAAACAAAATCAGTGAATGTGGTGGTTTCGTAAAACTCCACACCATAATAGAACATTCTTGGCATATATCCTCGTGGTCATACATATGATAGTTGGGAGTTAACAAACTCCTATATTCTGTCAACGATAAATAATACAAAAATACTCAATTGGACTCATAGTAAGATTTTTGAGAGAAAATATTTGAAAAAAAAAAGGAACACTTATGTATAATCTAATAAATAACCTTCTTTTAATATATACTATATACAATATGGTAGTTAAACAACATGAAGTAGGAGTCAAACTTATACCAAATAGTAGTTAAGTACCCAAAAAATATATTAAAACCGTTGGTTTTTGGCCAAATCCGTAGGTTTCTCGAAACCTACTCTTTGGGAAATCGTAGGCTAGTGAGAGCATACCATAAAAATCATATAATTTTGTAATGAAATTTGAAAAAAATGAATTACAAATGACCAAAACCGTAGGTTTCGGGTGAAAAAGTAGGTAATTTTTAATACATACGGATTTAGTGGTTATTGTGGACTATTTCCTGATTTTTTGCTAAAAAGTGAGTAGTCATTAGGAAATTTGACTATATTTGTTATTTTCTCGTAACTTAATCAGATGTGATTAATATATATAATAAAAAAAAATTATAAAAAAGTTGAAGAACTCGTTTTCTTATAAAACCAATATATCAATATTACTGTTAATTTATAAAAAAAAAATTAATTTTAAATATTTGAATTTTTTTAATAAAAATTCTAGACAAAATTGCAAAAATGGTCCCTGTGTTATGCATTTTTTCTGAGGTTTGGTCCAAACCTCGAATTTTTTGGATTGGTAGTCATTTTGGCCTAGTTTCGATGCATAATTGGTCCCTCGGTAAACTGAAATGATTGAAATGCCCCTAATGTATTTATTTTTCATTTTTCTTTCATTTTCTTAATTTAATATATATATAATTATCTATTTTAATAATTGATAAATAAAGATAGGACCCACCTTCTATCTCTCTCTCTCTCTCTCTCTCTCTCTCGTATGCCAAAATTCCTCAGATGAACCATAGTAATCTCACATCTTTGAAGAGTTCAGATGTAAAAACACAAAGGGTTCAAGATTCACCATTTTTTCTGTTTGAATCACAATCTACAATCAACGATGACCAAACCCAATCCTTTGTCTACGTCTTCCTCCCCTGTAACCCAAATTCTTACAAATTCAGGGGACGATGACACGATGGAAGTTCCATCTACACCTCCGATGACGATCTCAACTTTATATTTCAATTTTGTTCCTTTCCTTTTCGTATTTCTCCACTGTAACCCAAACTCCAGATTTCGATTACGATTTTGTTCCCAAACTCCATAGTTCGATTTGAATTTTTTTTCCTAACTCAATATCACTTTACCATGTATGTTTTACACCTCTTTAGGATACTATATGATGTTTACAAGGTTGGATGTAGAGATACAAGTAGGCATTTCGCAGATACTTTGATTTGTGCCCTTTAATGGGTTTTTTTGGATCTGGAACCTTTGTTGATTGATTTTGGATATGGAATCATGGGTTTTTTCATCCAGATTTAAATGATGTTTGGATGATCAATTTAATGATGACAAGGAGGGTGTTTGGATGCATTTTTTCTGAAAATTCCCAGATCAAAAGCTTATGGGTCTTCAAGAACAATCGGTTTTTGAAAAATAAATTTAATTTTTGCTCTTCAAGTCAAACACACACGCATACAAACAATCAGTTTTATGTTTGCTCTTCAAGAAAAATCGGATGTATGGGTTTGTTTTTGGAACTAGAAATCAATTTATGAATCTGAAAAAAGGCTTATAGGTCTTCAAGAACAATTGATTTCTGAAAAATCGTTGTCGTATGCGTGTTTTATATCATTTATAGGTGTAGGGGTTAATGGAATCAAAGAAATAAAGGATGTCACAGAAAAATCGATAGTCAGTGGGGAAGAATTTGGAGTTCATCTTCTCAATTTAGAGTTCATCTGGTGCAGGAGAATAGTGTATGGGGGGGGGGGAGAGAGAGAGAGAGAGAGATAGAGAGAGAGAGAGAGAGAGATGTGGGCCCAAGTTAATTAAATATTTTCTTTTTCATTTAAATTAAATAGAAAAAACATAGAAAAAAATTTGTAAGGGTATTACAGTCATTTCAGTTTACCGAGGGACTAAAAACGCAACGAAACTACCTCAAAAGGACCACCAATCCATAAAAGTCATGGCTTGGACTAAAACCCCCAAAAAATGCATACCACAGGGACATTTTTCCAGTTTTGTCAAAATCTTAAATATTACTAAAAGAGAAACTTTATGACATCATCTTAAATAATCTGGACCATTGATTGTATTTCAATCTTATTTTTTCCACCCTTAGATCAAATTACTGACATCATCTTCCTCATATGGAATGTATTTAATTCCAATAAATGCTTTCCAATCATTAATCAATAACTTACATTCGTTGAAATGTAATGTATTTAATTCCAATAAAAACTTTCCATATTTTACATCTTGAATTTTTAGTTATGAAGATTTTAATATGATCAATTTTAAAAATATATTACTAATAAATAATTTCAATCAAGACCTTAATATCAACCATTAATATAAATCCGTTTATATTAGTAAACCAGTAATATAAATTCTTTTTTTATTAGGAAATCATTAATACCGAAAAATCATATTCAAATTATCACATACATATACGATTCATCATTGAATTCGCGACTCACATTTATTTTCAATCGTTTCTTTTCTTCAAACCTTCTCCTACAACATCGTTAATATTGCTTATAACTTTCATCATCTTTCTCTGCTATCAACATTCGCTCTTGTGCGCTAGAAGGTCAGTACCTTCTTTCGCTTTTTATATTTTTTTCGATCATTTTTTGTTCCTATATAAAATGTATGTATTCATATATTTCAATTTTCTTTATCACAAATTACATGAAATCAGTTAACTACTTTTCCGAAACTTTTCAAATAAACATGAAAAGGTATTAGGTACCTTTAACAAAACAAAAATTAACTATCTCGGGAACTGACATTAATTACGAAAGGGAAGTGATATTCCCACTTAATAATTTGATTCATCCACATGAGGTACAATACTTTTACAACTATCGTACAAGTTGGTAAAACATACATTTCAAATGGATTAATCAACTTATCAAGTGGAAATATCATTTTCCATTACGAAAATGTTACTTTTATATATTAGAGATGATTATGATTTTTTTTTTTAATTTTTATGTCCTAAGAATCTGGTTAATTTTGTCATGATTTTAAAATATCATTGAAATTATTATGTTTTTGTATATCATATTAACCTACTTTTTTATCTTCGTATAGTAACAATAAAATTTATTAATTTACACAACAAATATAGATATTTCAAATTTTGTAATATTATTATACCTTTCAAAATACAACTCCTTCCAAAATAAATTTTCGCCAGTAATTTCATCCATAATTTCAACAAATTTAAATTTGTATTTTCTTTATATAAATTTTTTTAATGATCCTGATTTTTTTTCTCCAAAAGTATATCAAGCATTTACGTTTTAGATAATGCTGCCCTATTATAATTATTATTTTCCAAAAGTATATCCGTTTAATGAGGAATTTGATATAATAAAGGAAGTGAATGTTAATTAAAATGAGATATATATTCCATAATTATCACATGAGTTTATTAAAAAAATTAATATCAAGGTGTAAACATTAAGCATTTTTAAAGTGAAATTTCAGAATACATACAAACGATGATGTTGTACAATGAAATATAAAATTGAATAGACTGAAAAAAAAAACATTATTAAAGTAGTCAATCTTGAAAATAACATAGTTATGAAAAATTATAAAGTAAGATTAAATTTATAAGATATTAGGAGATTTGTAAAAAGTACATTTAGTAAAGACGTTACGGTTATTAGAAAAAATAAGACCGTTAAGATTAGTGAAAATACAATATATAAACTAAATTATCATAATAATAATGAAATGTTGTTATTTGATATTTCATATAATTAACAGATATATCAAATTAAATTGATGATATACTAAAATTATTCAAAGTTACGCCAAAACTAATGCAAAGTTTTTGCGAACACTAAATAAATAAGAACAAACATAAAAGCTAGCATTTATATTTATAATCAATTTAAAATAAACCAATCATGGTTAGAAAAGAATCTCCATTGATGATATACTAAAATTAAATCTATATAACATTTAACATTTTATAAATTATATTACATAACTTTATTTGAATAAATGAAATAGTTAATATTTAATGCATTAGAAAAAACGGTATATTAATTGTCAATATATGTTTAAATTAGGTAACATTATTATGCAAAAAACGTCTAATTAAAATGCTTATAAATATATAAATATCATAACTATATAAGACGAGGAAAGTCGTTCAACTAATAAAACAAAAAATGACGTCTACAAAGAGATCTTTTAATAATTATATATATTTATCGTTTTCAATGTATTTTCTACATATTTTAATAATACCAATAACCATATTTTTTTTTATAATCATTATGCAATATCTATAAACGATTATATGTTTTTTTATGCGTTTCCCGCGTTTAACGTTAACTATAATCTAGTTGTATTCTAAAATAAACGATCATATCAATTTTTTTTTTTTTTAAATTTTACAAGTGTTTTCGTTTGAACATAGTCTTTAACTCATAGATAAGATAAATATTAATTGTTGATAGTTATCGA